TTGCCACTCTGATTGAGTATCTCCAAAACATGCATTCTGAATGCAGCACTGCTCTTCAGGTGTCGAAAACGTGACTTCTTAATTGGATTGTTGGTGAACCTCTCAGTTTGGTTTTTACGTACGGGAATATAAAGAAGTCATTCGGTGCCAAGTCAGGACTATACGGCGGATGACGCATCAAATCGATGTTTTGGGTGCTCAAAAATGCAGTTGTTTGAGCCGATGTGTGAGATTTCGCATTTTGTGGTGAATAGTGATCCGTCTTCGACGGTTGGTTTTCCTGATCCTCCTTGGAACAGCTGGCAAACAAATCGTTTGTGTACCACTCAGAATTGACTGCCTGCGTTGTTCTAGTAGGTACTGTTGCGACATGTCCAGTTTTTCCGAAAACACAGGCGACCATCTGTTTGGTAGCGATTCGTGCGCGAACAATTTTTTGTTGGATTTTTGCTCATCTTGAAACATTCATTACAGTCGACTGCTGTTTACTTTCAGGCTCATACGCGGTAAATCCACGAATTCATCACCTGTCCGATGTCATAGACGTGTTTCGAAGCACCGCGATTCGTTATTTTTGAGCATTTCTTTGACCAATCGACACGAGCCTTTTCGAGCGAATGACAAATTGTTGTGGATCCAAAGCGAACAAATGTTTTGACAGACAAATGTTCATGAATATTGAATGTACGCTGGTTCCCACTAATGCCTAAGGTTGTCTCAATCTCATGATAGTCACATGACGATCTTGCAATATCAGTTCACGCACAGCGTCAATGGTTTTCGGAACAAACTGATTTTGGACGACCTTCGCGAAATTCGCTTGAAGTGAACTTACGACCGATTGGAATTCACCATACCATCGATAAAAATCACTACTCCTGATGGATTTCATCGCCAAAAATCTTGAATTATTTCATCCCTGCACTGTTGCTGAGTTAATCCACGTGCGAAAGGTGTAAACAATAACTCGCCAATGAAAAATGGTCACGATTTAATTCCATTTTTGGGCCAAGATTGAATCTTTTTATGTACTGTAAACAAAAAAATAACGCTCGTATGTCAAAACGTTCTGAGTACGTATAACCTCCAAAACATCAAACTTTACGATAGAGCTATCTGTTGCCAGATTGCAACACCAGGGTTGCCAAATCCCAAAACATGAAAGGCAACCTTCGTACATTGGGACAGCGTTGCATGTTGGTATCTTGGGACACTATGAATAATATTTTAGTTGCAGGAATGCGAATTTAAACAAGACTGTGTTAACATCAATTCTCTATTAGACAATATTATTATTCACATTAATTTTAAAATTATATCTTATAGGAAAGCAATATTAAATGAATGCAATTCGCGACATGTTGATTTTGGTAAAATCTTGCCAACAGAAGAGCGACCAACAGTTATGGCATCAACAGTAGGAAATAAAAAATGGGTCATTTGTTTCCTCAGGAATTTTAGTGCCATCATCTGCGGTCTTTTCCATTACTAGTTCAACATAATAAGCATGTTGTGGAGGTATGCGAGCATCTCCAAATTCTATTAAAACCCAATTACCCTCAGAACATAGAAGAGATTCTTATTTACATGAAAAGGTGACAAATCTTCCTCTTCTTCGAAACTTGAATAGATCATAATGTTCCTTGAACTATTTCCAAGATTAGAAATTTCTTCATCGGAGGAACATGAAAATTTATAATCGCCCTTTTAGAGCTTTTAGGTTATGACTTAATCCTTTTTTCTTTTCAATTATCCATTTTCTCTGAAGCGCCCAAACCAACAAAATATCTAAAAGGTTCAAACAAGCTTATTTGTAACAAAATAAGTTTATGACTAATCTACAATTTCTTTTATTTTTTATTGTAAAACTAAGATGCTCAAATAAAGCCAATTACAATACTACACAAAAAATATAATAATGATTAGTTTATTTTCTTATATTGAAGAAACCCGCTTATTTTTTTCTTCCTCTTGGAAACAAACATATCAGACACTTTAAACGCTCGACAGAATAACAAGTGTTAAAATAATTTCACACATAAACCGTGAAACTTCCATACAATGTCACCATAATTATTTGTAGTTTTAAGAGTTGTTACTAGAGCTCTCTTTCTATGTAAAATCAATGTAAAATCGTCCCAAGAGGCAGCCCATTTCCCTGCTAGATGAGCTAGGGTAGACATTCAAGATCTCAAAAAAAGTGCACTATTGTACTTCTTCCCATTATACGTCACAGTTTTTAACGTTAAATAAATCCTCTGGGTTTTCTTTTCTCGTTCTGGAGTACAGTATTTTCGATCCATACTTTTGAGCCTGCCAGTTTTACAATACTGACAGGAGGCAGTGTGTAAGGCACCAGGTCAGTGGCATAGGCTCAATGAATGCGAGTGATGTGTCGCATCCCCAAGTTTTTCAGCTCTTTTAAAACTTTTGTGAAAAACGTTATTCTACTCCTGAAATATATCTCTCTATCCTGTTTGTACCTTTTGCTTTTTTCCCCATGCACTTTCCAGTAGGCGTCTGTGACCGTGAAAGGCCGAGAAACATCCCTTTGACGACTTCGCTTCGTTACCGAGATAATTGAACTCTCATCATGTGCTGTGGGCAAGATGCGAGGTTTCGGCCGACGGAGATGCGACGCTGACTATTGCATCTCAGACCTCTTTGGTGCTTCTGTATCCCCCTCGCAAAGCTTCGCCATTGTCTCCTTTGAGCACCTCCTCTTCTTTCAATAGAAAGACTGGGAAACCCGGGGGTCACGAGCTGATGACTGTGGACTCCAAAGCGAGTTGTGGGCGGCGCGTCTTGACCACACCGTAGGCATGTTTACCAACTATCCTGACCCATAACGTGATTTAGAAGACGTGTGTTATCTGTGTAATATAAATATATATTGTAATATATAAGTATTGTCAGTCATATAGATGTTTATTGTTCTCTCAAATCTTGCCATTACAAACATGTATAACATACACACGCAATTTGTTATTCTGTATAATTTTGCCATTGAGCTTTTATGATTTGCTCTATTCATGATATTTAAAAGGGCAAGTATTAATTGGCAGACGCACATGTAAGCAAAAGCGCCGAGGTCACGCAGAGCACCGAGCAAAGGCACTGACCGGATGGTGTGGGCCACTTATCAGAAATATCTTGCGCGCGTCTCCACACGTAAGCCAGAAAGAAGCTCCACCGGAAGCTTCTGAGACAGCGTGGGCTATTCAACCCACTTAAACAAATTCATTATATCCCCACTCCCAAGAGTTGCCAGCACGTGCGTCTGACCAAGCATGCCACGCCCTGCCCGGGGGCTGATATAAGCGCCCTGGCTGTTTTTGCAGCAGACACTTGCAGTCATGTAGTGAAGGCTATATGATTGTTGGTTTCTCGCATTAACCACTTTCATTTACTGTATATTTTAGTATTATTAAAGATTTTGTCTTCTAAAGAGCAAGAGTTGCTCATTCACCTCGTCATTACCAGTTAAGTGTCCTGCCACCTCAGAGAAGTCGAAAATTTAGCTTTTCGAGGATCCATTCAATTAAAATGTAACTGCGCCCTGTCACTCAAAGATAAGTGGCCGGCGGCGCGCACGTTACATCCGTACGGACAAAGAACACTTACCTCACGCGGCTGGTAATAGTTCTTGGTTGTCAGGATTTTCGCGTGTTTTGTGTGTTGTTGCGAAAGTGCTGAGTTTTTCTTGAAACTGGGTTATAAAATGAAACATGTACTTCCCCAAAGAAAAACCATGGTTTTGAAGCTGTAACGCGATAATTAGAATTCGTCAATTTTCGTGAGAAAAGATGTGACATGGCAAGCACATGATTTGTAAAAGAGAATGAGTTACAAGAGATAGGAAACAGCGAGTGAAAACTCCTAAAGTCCCTTGAAAGGTTTCAAAAACTACGCAGTTTTCAAGAATGCTAGAAGACAACGGAAAATCAAATAACACAATTAGGTGTATTGTTCATGTTTTAACGTACTTTTGTATATTCTTGTTTGGTTCATTATTGTCAGAAGCAACGCAAAATTAGCAATTCTCAACAATACGTATATACATCGTAATAAGGAATACATTAACATATAGTCCGACATCGATTAGATACCTTAATTGGTCAACCTTGTTTAATGCATAAAACTCTGATCGCATCCCCATTCTGAGCAGGAGACGCCACTGCATCAGGTGTCTCTGGTGGTGTCACGCCCATCTCCAAATAATTTCAAGGACATCCAATAGTTTAATTCTAACTCCATTTGAAGTAAATATACTTTCAATGTAACATTCGGTAAAAATTATATTTGTATAGTGTTACACAGACGTTAGAACATGAAACGGTAGCATAGAGTAACAAAACATCGTCCTTCATTAGTTTCTCCAGAACTGGCAATCGAAAAGCTAATCTTGCCCCAACGACGGCTCTGATCACAGCCGGAACTCTCATCTCTGTCGCTGCCGTTGTTTTCTGACTTTAATATGAAATATTATTAATTATTTAATAATATATGCATGCTTTGAATGAAATGAAACCTAACTGAATACATCTGGAAGTGGAACCTTTGCTACATGGAACTATGAATACATGGAGGTACCATTACCAACTTCTACCGTGTTCCGCAAGTGAAGTAAGTCCGCCATACTAGAGAACCCAAAACCAGTCTGTCACTCGAACGTGTATATACTGTTTGTAATACTTATCTTCTAAAGATGTTGAGTGATTGAGATTGAATATACAAGGTCGAGTGACTGAGATGCTTAAGTTATACTACGAAGTTAGTGGTGACTAAGTTATCATTTACGGTTGTATAAGGATTCTATTTAGCCTGATGGGACAAAAGAAGGTTCCGAAACGTTGCAAAATATGTATATTGACAAACTGATATATAATCCGTGGGTTAAATAAGGTTTAAGTTGTCTCTGAACATTTTCAACTCTATATGAAGATTCATTTTAAGTAAATTACACATAGTGAGCAAATATCAATTTACACAAAACATACCTATTCTCCAAGTTGTCACGTTCGCCTTTACTGGTATTCTAAAATTAATAAAAAAAACATTTTAGCAAAAAGAAAAAGCCATAGTATACTATCTATAAAAAACACAGACACACCTTACACAATGGAATGTTTCACCTCATTCACACGTATTTATCTCTAAAATATAAAGTGAACAGTTTCTTATAATTAAGGGCATATACATTAGAATTAAGTGCATATGCTGATAACTGGAAATATCTTCATTTACAATATATGAACTATATTCATTCAGGCAAAAGCTGGAATGCAAAATAACGATCCACAATTAATCGACCAGCTTTTAAAAGGGATCTAGTTACCTTCTTTTCTTTTCATTGAAATATAATTACAAAATGCAGCGAATGGTGCCAAGACTGTTTTAAGGACCATACATTTGAAAATGCCAATTGCTCAACAATAAATGGAAAACATTTCAACTTCAAAGTCTTCAAACACACGAAGTACTCTTATAGACCAGACAACAAGCTTTCCGTAGCCCAAAAGCTTTAAATTTTTTTCGCATCTTTATATATATTTTTTTCTTTTTCTTGTAATACACGTTCATTTGTAGGTAGATCACCTATTAGTATAAACAATATATGAAGAGTACTTTCTCCACTATCAATGCACTACTTTCAAACAATACTTACGTTGACATCTGCCTCCATAAATGTCCGACGAAGCACAGTATCAGCTGCCACACAGGAGACGTGGAGATCATGCCATGCCTGCAATGTGGCATTGCAACTCTCGCATATTTTATGAGGTAGACCGTCATCTGCTTCTATCTTTGAGAAGGACCGACAAATATATATTTGAAGGAAGTATTTAAAAAAAACATTATGACACTAAGTTTCACTAGATACGACACAATGTAAAGTAAAATTTTACGCATAAGCAAATAAACAATGCGAGGGAGGGATCAATCAAGAGGGAAACGGAGAGCAGGTGAGGAAAGTGAACATGGGAGTACATATTGTCAAGGATTTTAAAACTGAAATAATTAGTGAAATAACATATTCAGTTAGGACTGCAAGTAAGCAGTACAGATTTTCTTTCGGACTGTTGTTGTCCATTCTATCTCATACTTGGTATCATCTTCGGAACTGCGCGGAATTTTCGATTCCGCGGGATCTGACCATACGGCGGCCTCTACTAGGGCGGCACGCTTCCACACAACTTACTTGATGTTGACAATGCTCTCCACCTATATCCACGCAATTCTGGCCCCGGAGGAGCAAGTTCTGACTCCCATTTATTAAAATACAGTCCCTGTTAGAAATGCCTACCAATGTATGCTATTCCTGAAGCTAAGTTATAGTGTGCGAATTGGTTTTGAATACTCTGCCATTCCATAAACACCACTAATAAGTATCAAAGAGCGACACCTCGGAAAACCTCGACCAAAAACCATCATTCTATGTAATCATTATATAATGTTATGAAATTGTTATTAAAAATAAAAATCATACAAAAACTATCTTTAAGTTTGAGGCCATGAATGTAAATACAATTTTTCAATGTATTTATTTAGAATATCTAGATCTAAGAATGAATAATGTATATGGATGAGTATTGAACACAAATTGTGTAGATGTGCATTTTATAAATAGTAATAATTTATTGTAGTATTATACGAAAGAATTATATTTCTTGTTATTGAGCTGTGTGTGCTATATTCTATAATACCATTAGGTGTGGTTTTCTTTACCACCATTATTGCTGCTGAAGGTCACTAGAATAAGCATCAAATATTGTAAATTAGCTAGTAGTAAAAATCTACAAGTGTGAGAGGTTGTTAGCAGAAATGTTATGTTTGTGTAAAAAATAGAAATGTTGAAACCCCTAAAAGCAAGAATTGTCAAAAAGGAAAAAATAAATTAAAAGAAAGAATCTACAGTCGACTGTATCTTTGTTTTCAATGTGAATTGCTGCCAGTTGCCTACTCTCTATTTCCACCTCGAACCCTTTTAGTTAGCTACGGTGGGGAAGAGGTCGACAATCAGCGGTTCAAGATAAAAGGGGCATTTCTGCAAAGAAGAGATAGAGAACTCCTCAGTCGAAAACGGCCCGCGACGCCGATTCAGGGGATTCACCTGAGATGCCTGCGAACACAGCTGAAAGCGACACGAGAGAAAACTACCCTACGAACTCAGTACAGTTCTTAAATAGACAATGACTGTACAAAACTGACCTCCATTTGAATACTGATTTTGAGTAAGCGGTGATAAGAGCATGTTAAAATGAACAGTGTGCATACAAGCAATTATTGTGTAAATCATTTTCTCTTGCTCTTCCGCTAATTTTTGGACTTTAAATACCTCTAGAGGCAGATGCATCTGAATCTTTTCAGAAATTGAATCTTCAGTCTCAAAATGTGTTCCAAAGATAGGTAATAACGATGTCCGTATTCTTCCACAAACACGACACAATTGGCTTTTCAGATTTTCGAGCACTAATCCGTACCCTACTTCTTCGTCTTCTGTCTTTCCTTCAATATTATCTAAAAAGAATGGTACATGTACAAGAACAATATTAAGTTTTAATAAGTCCAAGAAATCTCTCTAACACACTCAAGTACTTACCACCATTGGAAATTGCATCAAAAAATTCACAGGTACTATCTAGAGAGGAATTGTCTGGCAGAAGAATATTATTCTCAAGGATCTCTTCATTACACATATTGCCGTTAATGCTATCGTTTTCATAAAGGATGTCTGTGTGAATCGCATTATGGCCCAATTTTCTTTTCTTCTTTAAATTCTTTGTCTCACAATCTAAAAATAATTAAAAAATTCATTAAATTCGAAGAAATTATCCCCCAAAACAATCCTTTGAGTATCGATAATTACAATCAAACTCTAATACGAATTTTCCAGGAAATTTTCAACCACTTCTTGGCCTGCAATTTGCATTTGTGTTAGCCATTATATGGCCCCTAAAGGGCAATTGGACTGGTTAGATCCCGGAGTTCCTAGTAGTCGGTCACTCAACCAGCAACCAACGATGTCTCGGATTCGTTTAACGTTCGTGACTTTACGTACTTTACGAATTCGACTAGCGACGCTGGCTTCGCGGTCATGGCCTTTCATTAGAACCCTCCCAGCATGTGCCTGGATGGCCGATGGAAAACCTCGTCAGAATGGCCAAATCAGGGACTAAACACGGGCCTCCCAACGCGAAGTTTGTGTAAAACGCCCTGGGTCACTTAGCTTGGGTGGCCTGCCATACGTTGTTTTTTATTTTTACAAATATCTATCGTGATCGCGTGACTTATATCGAACTCGATACGAGTCAACTGATAGCACACAGGTCATTTTCCGATATAACTTTCGATAATACCCTTCTGTGTGTGGGTACGATACACCATACTTTTTCTTTGATTTGAAACACAATCGATTCTCCTGTTTCTTACCCAAATTAAACCAAACAAAGATGCAGCTAGATGAACAAGTCCAATTCATATAAGAGGAAATAATTAACCTATCAACAGTAAATCGTAGTTCTTAAACCAAAGAGAAAGCCACAAACGTGCAATATCAGCAAGCCAACAATAAAAGCACCAATGCAAGGATTATTGTAATAATATAGAAATTAGTAATGAATAAATCTAAACGACATCGGGCCAAAAATTGCATATACATTTCGCCGCCAATTATGCTGGGGGATGAACGCCAGAAATGATCGACAGAAAAAATAATATCTATCTTGTTATAATTGGAAAGCTTATAAAAAAAATCTCACTATTAGAAAGTTAGGTCTTTAGTTGATTTTTAGTCATTAATACCTTTTTCAGAAATAATAATAAAATCGCCAGCATATTTCAACTTTCTTCTGTTAACATATTTAATTAAAATAATATATTTTGGAATAAACTCTACCTTCATTTTGTATATTATCAGCAGCAGCAATGTCCACTGAATTTACTTTCTTGGGACGTTTAGATCTTCTTTTATAATTTATTTTTGTCAGTGAAGACATTTTTTTCTTTGGTTTACCCATAGCAGCAATTCTGTGTTAACAAAACAGAAATGTCATGATTTTCAGAAAATAATCAACACATTAAAATAATTGTTTATGATCCGAGAGTTCAAAGTAGCATTTTAGTTTGAGAGTGCTGAAAGGCTGTGATACGAGACCGACAGACAGAGTGGCACAATCCTACGAACAAAATAAAATCACTTTTATCACGTGTGTCATACGCCATTTTTGCCGACAGCTTTCTTCACTTTCATTTGATTTTAATTCAAATATCTAAATCACTTAACTGGATACTATGTAACGTTAAGGTCAGAAATAGCTGGTGCGGTCAAACGAAAGTCTTTTTTCGTTGCTGCAGTCCCAGTATTGTCCGAGCACATTCGAGGATAGACTCTCTTAGGACTGGTGCTAGGAAATGAACTTTTATCACGCTCTGCATATTGCCTTCACCGATGGCCGTCTACAAAATAATTTACGACACGGGGCAGAGATGATCCACTGCTAGTTATTGCATGGGACGTAACAGTTGGGCCGACCAGAATGGAGCAATTTGCCCCAGGCTTCGAATTTCTCTTCACTCAAAAGAAATTAAAAAATATCCATCTCTAATCCAAATTTAACTTTAAATTATTTTTGATGCATGGAGAAATGAATTCTGTTTATGAATTGGGAGAGGAGGGAATTTTATTGTTTGAAATGAGGGATCCCCATGGACAAACTGCCCCAAGCTCCTAGTTTTCTCTGGGCATCCCAGCGTACAAATGGTTACTACGGCTCCCAGTCAAATACTGGCTAATTTTGTATTGGATCATCAACGCATATATATTAAGAGTTATATATTTAATAGGAAATCAATTATTTAGTTTTTGCCATATACTTCTGAAAGTGTTTTGCATGGTTCTATGTTTGCTAAAGGTAAGGAAAACTACTGAAGTTTGTTGAGACTTTTGATTTCGCTGAGGTGAATGACCAGGGTTTACGGAAGGTTCCGTAAAACTGCATTTATACCACGTGAAAAATTATTAGAATTTTTCAATTTATTTTCGATGAATAGAGTGCGCATCGGTAATTTAAGCCCAAAATTAGTGGACTCATAGTAATAATAAATTGAATACTGAACTTCAATTGTATACATTGGCGTATAACATCCAGAGAAGCGATACATCTTAATTGTGTTCATTACTGAGTCAATGTTTTGAAGAATTCAGTGAAGAGTCGATTTATTCACGCTACCTGATGGCTGACGTAAGCCACATAAAAGTTAAACTGTTATTGGTAAATATAAAACTGTGTCACCTAAGGTCCGTCTATAAATTACGTAAAGCAAATTTGTAGAATTTTGAATGTCCTCTCTCCCTCTGTAATGCGCGCTTGAACCCCCCTTAATAATTACTTAAAGCTTGCAAATACAACCTCTCTCACACCCAAATACACTGTAAATGCAAGAAGAGAAAATAAATTATAGCACAGTAAAAGCAAATTGTATTCATTTTATTTGCTCTGAAATTTTATGTTTAAAGTCGGAATTAGTTGGTGATTCTATCTGCACCTAACAATAAGATAGGGGGCAAGTTGTGCATGAAGGAAGGACGCACATACTTGTTTTTTTTACGCGGCGCATGACGTAAACCAGCTGTTGACGGTGTCATCCAATGCCACTGTGATGTTCACGCTCATGATTGGATGACACGGTAAAAGCTGATTTACGTCATGCGCCACGTTAACAGAAACGAAGAAAGATATGATACATTTTGTATCACAAGCCGTGCACACGCCGTCGCGTCGGTGACGACGCAGGGCGAAAGTCTTCTGCGCTAATTTAAATGGGTTTAAATCTTCGTGTTCTTACAGATTTAATAAAAAATGCTGAAATAATATTTCCATTTTTAAAACAATCCACACTTAATAACTAATTTATTTTATTGTTGTGGGTGCATGGAAGCATTTGAAGTTGGTGCACGCGCTACTGAACAGCGCGCGGTGTTACAGCTCGCCAGACAATTGTTGCCTGGTTAGCCCACCCCCTTAATTTAGTTTTTTTTGGGGGGGAGTCTTTAATGGATTTTTAGAGGGACAATTTATTTTGGGGTGTTTGTTGACTTTTTAATTGTTATTTTTTAAATATGAATGTTTATTACAAAATCACAAAACCTAAAAGTATTTCCCTATGGTTAATGGAGGTACATTTATTACAATAGTAGTGAAAACACTTGTTGGCGCGTAAGATTATTTGAAGGAATTCCCTCGTTAAAAATTGGGCCGTTATTTGACTTAACCAAAGATTGGTAAAAGAAAGCAACACATTTAATAAAAGGGAACGAATCACAGCAATTAACAAGTAATAGAAACAACAATTTTGGTTGAAGAAAAGTTTTACAAAGAGTTATCATTATCTCTTTTTCAGTCATTACAATGCGTGAGACCAAGATACCTCTGTGTGTATTTGCACATTATTACATAAATGCTATTTATACACATTTTTATGCATTGCAAAACATTTACTGTAAAATATAAATATCACAGAAATTAATATTTTACTTATTTCTTTAATGTCCATACTTCCCCATACATTTTTAAAATGAAGTAATAATTTTTTGAATTTGGTATTTTTGACGTTGGTTTTCCCACTGTTTTCTGGTGGGAACAGTTGCCAGGGCGGGCGTGGCAGTCTTGAACGCGAGTCCGTGGGGAGTTTGTTAGTTGCAGGTACACGCCTAAGCAGTAGTACTTACGTGATTGTCTTTGCCGCATTTCTTGAATGGCTACGTCGGAAACGACTCGCTCTCAACCTCGAGAAATGCGTCGCCGTCAACTTCACTCGCAAGAAGGCAAACCCCCCTATGGAACAGTGAGCTTGGCGGACCCGCGTCTCCCGTGCCAGAGCGAAGCGAGGTATTTGGGCGTGTTGCTTGACAGCGGTCTTTCCTGGCATGCGCAAGCTCGGTATCTCGCTGCCAAAATAAAAATTCGTACCCTTCTCTTGAAACCTCTTCCCCGTTCTTTTCATCTTGACATTTCCTTAAAGCGCCGCTTATTCACCGCGTGCGTGCGCCCCTTGTGGGCGTCAGTCTTCCTCCCACTCTGCACCCCATCCAGGTCACAGAAAACGAGATGCGCCCACGTCTTTCTCACACCCGGCCAGACCGCACTCCCAGAAACGCTGACGCGTTCAGAATTCTGGACGGGCGAAAACAGTTGCCGGCGGGGCGGCAGAAACAGGCGGAGACGGCGCTCGCGAGGGCGCTAAGGCCATCCGCTCAGCGCATCCAATGTGAATGCACCTTCCATGGAAGAAAGGGCCTATATCACGTCGCCTTCACCTTCCGCGCACTGCCTCCGCACAAGCTCTCTTAAGCACACAATTCAAACTTAAGTTCACAATGCAAACGTAAACATAAGCATAACGCATAGACGTAAACATTAACATAAGATAGAATAAAGTATTCACAATGTCTGACATAAACGTAAGCAAAATAAGGAGTTTTTATTGACTGCGAGACATTCTAGTTTACTATTGGTTAGATGTGAGAATCGATTTCGAGGTATCGACTGTGTCCATGGTGCATATGGCATTAGTTCTTCTATCGACTTAAATCTAATTTCGATTCTCGATTTTGAGTTACCGTTCTGTTATTGGTTCATTTCTTATGCCTTACTTAGCAAAGGCATAGAAGCTTGAAGTTTCTGTTAACGTCTTACGTGTTATGCTTAAGCGAATGCATTGTGAATGAGACCGCTTATGGACGTAGTCCTAACTTTTATGTTAACGCCATTCTTACGTTTATGTTTGCATTGTGAATGGGCCTTTAGCTGAGCAACGCGGGGGAGCAGCAAGTGCGAGCGAGGCGATCGCCGGAAACAGAGGGCTGGAAACGCGCCTCGCCGGACCTGGGCCGCCCGAAACCGAAGACGTCGCGGCGCCACGGACGCTTGAGTCAAGTCGGCCCCGTGGAGAATAAAAGAGTGTAAATAATGTATGTAGTGCAGTACAGTGAACTGTTGTGTTATGTGTTTGTGTAAATTAATGTAATTGTATATAGGGTGTCCGGGGAGGAATCGTCGAAACTTCGCAAATAAGCTCTTAAGATACTTTTAAGCATATTTTGTCTAATAAACTACTGTGATATTCCGAATGGTTGAGCCACAATAAGCACTCAAAACTTGGTTTGAAAAAATGCTTTCTAGGCAAACATTTGCATTGCAAAAGCGTAGAAACAATCGAGAGGCATGTAAATGATTTATTATTTACAAAAGAAATGAATATATTTGTTCAGAAAGAAAAAAATCAACCGAGAAATGTGTATTAAATTGGGTACTTTTTATTTCATTGTTATAACATTGTGATTTTTTCAAAAATTTTTTAATGAAATGTGTTTATCAAACTCAGATCATCAAATAAGTTGAATTTTTCAAAAATATGAATATTTTGTATGTAATTTGGCGTCACACTTCGAAATTCCTGCGCTTCGCGAACAGAATTTAAGAAGTGCTTGGAAGCAGCTAGATGCTACGTAAGTTCGAAATTGTTTATAATTTCATATTTCTTTGTTCGTTTCTTACATTCGAGCTTTTGATATATGTTCACAAATGAGTCGTTTAGAAATGATTTGAAACCCATTTGAAAAAATCCATATATTTTGTCCGTGTTGGGAGGTATATACTCGTATTTGCATTCTCAATGTATTGATGTATTTTTTTAAGTAATCCGCCAACTTTAGTTGAAATTGATCCAGTAAGGTTTTCTCTCTTTTAAAAAATACGATTTAAAGGTAATATGAAAGCAAAAATGCTAGACTTCAGGAAATATCAGATTGGAATGCGACAATGGCATTCCACCCCGCGAGACTGCAACGGCAGTTTACAATCATTGTTGGGACATGATTTATCTGTACGAAACGCAGTTGTATTTGTCGAATTTTTTTATTACCTTGAAAATATTTAGTTTTAGCACCTAACTACGATTTGAAATGTGTGTTACAAAAAATGATTACTGAAATGTGTTAATTCGCAGAGAAAGTGCAGTATAAATATTAATACGTAACCATTATTAAGGGCGAGAAAGGGTGTGTT